GACCGGTATGACAGGTGCGGGTAGCTCTGGTTACTCCGAGTAACACAAATGAGGCACTGGGAAAGCGGCTCAGCCGTGACGAATTACGCAAAAGTTTCATAACTAAGCACAGACTGGATATGATTTTTTGTTTTGGTCTCTGCGACTATGGCAGTGACCTTTATCACTTTGTTTGCTTTCGTCATCTGTCTCAAATTAAATAGAACTATAACGGACTGATGATTGCTAAAAAGCATGAAACAACGTTGTTTATAATCTGCCTCAAAACCACATCACGGATTTCGTACTCGTCCGAACGAGTGGAGTCTCCATAAGGAGAAGAGCCTAATTGTCGATATTTTTTACAGGTGACGCAAGAAACAATGGAGATACTGAATCATTTTGGTTACCAATTTGAGCAACGAGGTATGGTGACAGTAAAGGGCAAAGGGCAACTGATGACGTATTATCTTGTGGGAAAAGCTACTAAACCACACCTCCTACTGCTCCCGTATCTCCCATTATAGGTAAAGTAAAATTTCAATCCATGAGGTGGCGGAAGAGGTAAAACTAGAAATGACTAAGGAATCATAGATGCACAGTGGTTTTCAGGAACTTTACCACCAGATACGTGCCTTTACCCCTCCCAAAGAAGGAGAGAATACATTGTTTTTGACTTAAAATAAATGTGCATTGTCTACTGCTTTCCTTCTTAATTACTTTATAATAGGTGCTAACGGCTTGACAATACCTCCCGAAGGTAGGCAACCTACACTACTTTTCATATATCCCTATTTGTAGCAGTTATAGGATTCAACCTCACATATTCATTATTGGCTTCTGATCACCATCTAAGAAAATGAAAATTGTTCCATACTTTGAATTAGTTTTGGAACTGTGAGAACCAAAACTATAACTGACAATAACATTTTCTTGCTTCCAGGATCAAATGGGATGGAGACGTTGAATGAAGAGGATGAATCTCACGATAGCCCGACGTCAAAATCCGAAGACAAAACGGTGATAGAATGTTCTGACAGAATGGACGACGATGTGTTCACGTCAGAGCCCGAAATGTCATCAGAACAGACACTCATCACAAAAGGAGTAGAACTGAAAGACTCAACCGAGAATACCTTATTGCTTAGTGATACGTAGGAGTCGTTCATGTAGCCTAAATGTTTAGAGTCCTAATTTTGTAATGCTTCTGACCCAAGAATTTCACAAGGCTTTCAGGTTGGCCACGGAATTGTATGGGGTATTTACTTTATTTTTGATCACTGTAAGTGTACCTTGTACTAATCGGTCAAACGGTAAGAATAATGATTATATGTACAAAACTGATTGATTTTACAGACGCATCGTTTAATAAAGAAGAATAATATGTAGTACTCGTATATACTCGGCAAACATTTGAGTTGACTATATTCCTCCTCAATTTATGAAGAGACGCGCGATTCCGATGATTTTTAGCGGATGAAGATATCAAAACTGATGTTTTTGAAGCTCCTTACTGCAACAACTGGCGAACTGCTTTGATGAGTTATTTCCATTTCACACCCAAGTAGCGTAAACTCATAATATCTGATGGCCCCGTAGGAAATAGCCAAGAAGGGGATCAAGCAGACCATATGGAAGATATTCCTCTACGTTTGTAAAGATCATCGGGTGCTTCTGTTAAAAAAATACAAGTTCCCATACTGAAGTTGCTGAATGTAAATGTCACTGGTGTATTTGGAACAGCTCGTATTTCCTCAGGAAACCTGCACAGTTGTGCCATATCATTGATTAACATTATTATACCTGAAGACAGAGATAGAGAGTAAAATGAGATCTATGAGAATTTGCTATATGAGCATCTACCGATATACAGGTGACTTCAGCGCCATCTATGAGGCACTGGACTTTTCAAAGTATACAGGGTGTCCCAGAAGTCGACGTCAAGCCGAAACCGGGTGATAGGCAAAGTCATAACAGCTATCAGAAAAATATTTAAAAAAATTTTATGTATGTGTTTTGAAAATTATAGGTCTTTGAAAAAAATATAGAAATTTCACACTCTACGGCAGTCTGTCAACTCCTATTACTACAAATATTAACTTTTTTTTGATTTTATTTTTACAATGTAATGATGAACAATGCACCTTCAAACTGGTGTCCTCAACCTTACTGCCAACTTTTCTCGTTCAGGAAAAATTGCCACTTATTTCCCAACCAAGTATTCCAAAGTAAACTTTGCTCAACTTTAACTGGCTGTACTGGAAAAAATGTACTACGAGAGTTTGGCAAGTAAACTTAAAAGTTGGCGCATTTAATAACGATTCCAAAATGGTATAACACTTAGAAGAGTACTCGTTAACTTATGCACAATTTTTATTTGAAGAAAACTGATGAATTTTTTCAACATTTCCTAATTAAACAGCGATTATGAAAACGCACAAGGACCCTTAAGGATAACTGTTTGCACAACAGTGGGCGTCAAAATGCTGCTAATGATGATTTACCTTTACAGCAAATGCTCAAACTATTTTCCTTCAGCCGCAATACACGCTCGACATCTTCTTAAAAAAGTTCGGGTTATTAAACGAGCGAATCCACGGTTATTAACAAACTCAGCTGCTTCCAATAGTCTTTGCCGTAGCTCAGCTACATTTTGAATCGGCTTGAAATACACTTTTTCTTTTACAGTTCTCCAGTAAAAAAATCTAAAGGATTCAAATCAGGTGATCGGGCTGGCCACGGTATTGTACCAGACCGCCTTATTCATCTGCCTGGAAAGTTTTGATCGAGATACTCTCTCACTAAGAGTGCATAGTGCGCTGGGCAGCCATTATGCTGAAACCACATGTCCCTGTTAACACTCAGTGGCACGTCCTCCAATAAATTTACTAAATGATTTTGCAAAAAACCTAAATAAGCCTCAGCAGTCAAAGTCTCTGGGAACTCAAACGGACCGATTATTTTACCATTTAAAATTCCTGTCCAATGGTTTATCTTGAAGCGATATTGAGATTTATCTTCTCTCATCAAATGTGGGTTTGCTACGTGCCACTCGTGTAAGTTATGCAGGTTGATGTACCCATCTTTCTTAAATGTGGTCTCATCTGACCATAAAATTTTTTCAAAGAACCGTGGATCTTCCCTGTGTCTGTCTAACATTGTGCGACAAAAAGCAACTCGGGGCTCATAATCCCGGGGCAGAAGAGCTTGAACACGCTGTACGTGGTATGGATGGAGCACGTTTTTTTGCAAGATTCTATGGGCTGTACTTTTGGGCACACCTGTTTTTAGTTCTATTGCACGCACTGAAGTACTCGGGTCTTCTTCGAAAGCTCCTAGCACCACGTCTTCGTAAGGAAGGAAAGATCTTCCCTCACCGTGTGATTGGTTTGGTAGTTGGCCCTCTGAGAACAGTAAGCGGTGCACATTTGCGAACACTCGATGATCTGGATGACGAGCAGCATTCGGGTACCTCCCACAGTAAAGTCTCGCTGCAGCACTAGCGTTGCATCTGCATTCCCCATAAATGAGGTGCATGTTGCATTGTACGGTGTACACGGACATAGCGGCACTGCACAATCACACTATCAAAGATAGTCTAAGGAAAGCAAATGCTGTTTTGAAGAGCAATTAAGCAGTCCAAATCCAAATCACCAGCGATCAACAGTCCAGTTCACGAATCCAAAATTAGTAACAGTACGGAATCAACAAGCACGAACATGTAAAGATGCGCAGTAAACGAATGAGTACTGATCGGTATCAAAGTGTGCAATAGCAAGTAAGTGATGTGCTTCATCCATACCACATACAGCGTGTTCAACCTCTCCTGTCCCGGGATTATGAGCCCCGCGTTGCTTTTTGTCGCACAATGTTAGAAAGACACAGGAAAGATCCACAGTTCTTTGAAAAAATTTTATGGTCGGATGAGACCACATTTAAGAAAGATGGGTACATGAACCTGCAGTTTGAGTTCCCAGAGACTTTGACTGCTGAGGTTTATTTGGATTTTTTGAAAAATCATGTACAAAATTTATTGGTGGACGTGCCACTGAGTATTAACAGGGACATGCGGTTTCAGCATGATGGCTGCCCAGCGCACTATGCACTCTCAGTGAGAAAGTATCTCGATCAAAACTTTCCAGGCAGATGGATAAGGCGGTCTGGTACAATACCGTGGCCAGCCCGATCACCTGATTTGAATCCTTTAGATTTTTTTACTGGGGAACTGTAAAAGAAAAAGTGTATTTCAAGCCGATTCAAAATGTAGCTGATCTACAGCAAAGACTATTGGAAGCAGCTGAGTTTGTTAATAACCGTGGATTCGCTCGTTTAATACCCGATCTTTTTTAAGATGTCGAGCGTTTATTGCGGCTGAAGGAAAACAGTTTGAGCATTTGCTGTAAAGGTAAATCATCATCAGCAGCATTTTGACGCCCACTGTTGTGCAAACAGTTATCCTTAAGGGTCCTTGTGCGTTTTCATAATCGCTGTGTAATTAGGAAACTTTGAAAAATTTTCATCAGTTTTTCTTCAAATAAAAATTGTGCATAAGTTAACGAGTAATTTTCTAAGTGTTATACCATTTTGGAATCGTTATTAAATGCGCCAACTTTCAAGGTTACTTGCCAAACTCTCGTAGTACATTTTTTTCCAGTATAGACAGTTAAAGTTGAGCAAAGTTTTACTTTACTTTACTTGGTTGGGAAATAAGTGGCAATTTTTCCTGAACGAGAAAAGTCGGTAGTAAGGTTGAGACACCAGTTTGAAGATGCATTATTCATCATTACATTGTAAAAATAAAATCCAAAAAAGTTAATATTTGTAGTAACAGGAGTTGACAGACTGCCGTAGGGTGTGAAATTTCTATATCTTTTTCAAAGACCTATAATTTTCAAAACACATACATAAATTTTTTTAAATATTTTTCTGATAGCTGTTATGACTTTGCCTATCACCCGATTTCGGCTTGACGTCGACTTCTGGGACACCCTGTATAGAGGGTGTTCAAAAAATAGACGGAGATATTTTAGAGGATGATTCCTTGTTAAAGAATATGAAAAAGAGTTTCTATAAACATGGGTAAAAAAGTATCAATATATTAAAAAATACGTATTATATTTTTATTATATTATTATTATTCACTCTATTCTGTTAAAGTTTGGCAATATTATCTGTTGTGTTAAGAGGCTGGTTTAGCCATAAATAGATTAACATTATTAAGTACAGTGGCGTTCTAGGTTGCATCTTAGCAAATATTATTGGCAAAAAAAATGTACGCCATTTTTTGTAACTTTATTATTTGTTGTTTGATTAAGCATCTAAAAATACGACTTCTTTGCCTCTTATATTTTTCGTATTCACTTCTTATTCGAGAAAAAAAAATTCGTTTCATTGCATGTCAAATTGGTTTATTATTTTTTTAAGTGCGCTGGAAAACAAAAATTAAAAAAATAACTTTCGTGTAACTATTTTTTAATTAATTAATAATTTTTTTTAATTTATCACCTAAAACTTGAAAACTCTGCATTTCCGGACGCATATTTTTAACAAGTAATCATATTCTAAAATATCGCCGTCTATTTTTCGAACACCCTGTTTATAGTAAATAGAGAAACAGATGTGGTAAGATCTCATAGATAACGTAACGGTATCTCATTTTATCTCGGAAAACTTTTTGGACGCGCGAATGTGGCAATAGGTTGGCTATTTTCAAGTTGAATATCATAATCGGTACTGTTGCGTCTTGTAAAACTTCCGATTTCATTGTTTTTTCACTTGAAACTTATAGAGGGTAGTCTGATAGACTATGTTAAATCATAAAAAGTGTGAATGAAGCACGCTTTTCATGACAATTTTTCCCCAAAACACTGTATTTCTTAGCAGTTATTTCCCCATTATTTCCACCACCATCTACCATATGACGTTGACGTCTGTGGATATGTCATATAGGAGAGGCGCTTGCTTGCGGTATTGCCGGATTGGGCTCCGTATTTAGGGAAAAATATGAAAAGTGGAAAATTCATATACATTTGTATTAATTAATGAAACACAAAAAACTGAAACAAACAACAGTAGTAAGATTAAAAGTGATTCTTGCTAAGTATAAAACAAAAAATAACAAACAGCAGTGAAATAAAAAGCAATTCCATTTAATTATAAAAAACATAAAATAACATAAAATAAAAAGCAATTTGGATCGAATGAAATTGTTCGTTTTACTACTGTTTTTACTTTTTGTTTTGTGTTGTCACTTAGAATTGCCTTTTATTCAACATTGAATAGTTTTACTACTGTTTTTATTTTTTGTTTTTTATAATCACATGGAATTAGTTTTTATTTCACTACTGTTTTTTAT